AGGACCCAGCCCCTTAGAAATTAAAGCCATATGCACACCATATTAAAAAAAAATAACCCACCCAGGCCACTGCGTTATTGCTGACCATAGGAATTCAGTATTTATAATTTACATTCTTTCCCATACTTTGCTGCTTTTCAGAAGTGAAAAGTAGAGTTTATGGCCTCGCCAGATTGTAAATCACATTCTCGAGGGGAGAGGGAGCTGCTTTAGGGGACAGGAATCACCTTTGGACAGTTTGCAGAATGTGTCAGAACCTCACGAAAAGGATCCACATGGAGATACGGAAACTCAGCTTCAAGGGGTGTCATCTTGGCTCATTTTAGGCCACAGAAACGAAGGGATGTCAAATGGAATCTGTCTACTCACACCACACTGAAGGTGGACACCAATTATGCTTTCATTGAGCTCACAACCAGCCGATCACACCTGGGGTAACATTTGGAGAGTGGCTTGGAGGTTTGGCCATCTCTAATAAAACGAGCACCTGAGATCTGAGTTTCCTTCCAAGGAGGGGCAGGCAGAGATGCGGGATGCCGCCAAGAAGCCAGCTCCGTGCCATCCATTTGCCAGCTGCTGAGGTTGGCTGGTGGGACTGGTGAGGCCGTGGGCTGGTAATGGGAATAAGGCGTCTGCTCAAGTGAAGGAGGCAGCGGGAGACAGAGCCTCAGGCTCTGCGGGGATCTGACGGCCCCTACTGGCTGTGTGCTGTGTGTGCAACCTTTGTGCAATACATCTCAGCCACCAGATTCAGGGATCAGAGGGAGGGGTGCTGAGAGCCTCAAACAGGTGTGCTTGGAAGGTTCCAGTCCTCCCAGTGCCTTTGTCTGGAAGACTGGTTAGCAGTGTGTGGCCCTAGGGAATTCTTGCTCCCTGCTGCTGGTCTGAGTCCTATCCACTCTAGGAGAAGGTGGAGGATCCTAATGTTGTGGGAGCTGGAGAGCTTTCCTAGCCCTTTCCAGGTTGCACCTGTAAAACACCTAATCAGCTCAAGATGCACGCAGTGGGACTGACGAGAGAGAAAGAGCCAAACAGCCCTTCGTCGAGCGGGAAGAGTCGGCGTTACAGCCCAGAGTTCCAGCCTGCGTTATGTGAACCCTGCCTACAACATGACTGTGGGGAAGGCTATTGTGTGTATACATCAGGCATGGAAATGCAATATTTTGGTTTTTTAATCTCAAGTTAAATTTTTTTTTTCCTTTTAAAAGAAACAAATTGTATTTCCTATGTTTTATAAAGCCCCAAGACTCCTCTTTTCTACAGCATCCAAAAAGGAGGACAGGCTTTAGCTAGTTGCTTCTGTATGTGAGGCCTGCAATGACTGCCGAGTGGCAGGAAGTCAGTGGCTGCGAGCAAACCCTTCTGCCGTCACAGGGCATTACGGGTGCCCACAATTTGTAGACCCTTAGCACTGTGATGCCTTCCAAACTTCCCAATAACAAAGAAAAACCAACAATTAACACTCAGGCACAAGAAGTCCAAGCTCAAGCCCCAATCAGTTAGAGACTGGGTGGTTAGTTGCATTAGCTGTGAAAGCAAAACCCTTGGGAAGATTCTATTTGCTGAATAACGTTACTGTCCTCACCGGGTGTATGAGAAGGGGGTGATTTACCAATACCTTTCTCATCTCTGCTCTAAGAGGACTACAATGCTGGGGGCATGGGGGTGACTTTTGCTAGGACTGCAGGTAGGAAGCTTGTGTGTCACCCACCACTCCAGTCAGCAAAGTGTGCGTGTGAAGTTCTGGATCAGTCTTCAACAAGAGTATCACTAGTGTCAGAGTTTTATGAGGTATAAACTAGCTTAGTCACGTGAGGCCTGGGACCAGTTGCAAACCCATGAATAGTATCAGTCCGTGACAATATCTTCTCCAAATTCCATCCAAAAAGTTGTAAGAAAAGGAGTATCAGAGGAGTAAGTCACAGATGAACGTTCTGAAATGAACTAAAGGCACATATTTTAGTGAATGTTGGAGACAAGATTTTTACAATTTGGCATTCCTACAAACTAAATAAGATTCATATCCAAATATTTTTCTCCTTCTTTGCTAGACATCAATAAATAATTCCTTTAAATTCATGGAAAACAGTAAAATAAAAAAGCCATGTTTATTTAAAGTATTAAATAGCAAAGTTCAATTTTTTTTTTTTTTTTTTTGAGAGCGTCTCACTCTGTGGCCCTGGGTAGAGTGTTGTGGCATCATAGCTCACAGCAACCTCAAATTCTTGGGCTCAAGCAATCCTCTTGCCTCAGCTTCCTCAATAGCTGGCTGCCACAATGCCGGGCTAGTTTTTTTAATTTTTAGTACATATAGGGTCTTGCTCTGACTCAGGCTGGTCTCGAACTCCTGAGCTCAGGTGATCCACCCACCTCAACCTCCCAGAGTACTAGGATTACAGGTATGAGTCACCATGCACGGTCCTGCAAAGTTCAATTTTAAAAATATTGTAAGTTGCATCTGAGATAGACCTACCATTAGGTTTAAAATATAGCGTGACATGGGGTAATGTAAAAATCTCACTGTTTGGGTTAGCACCAAGTCTGCAGCCCATCCATCTCAGCCACTACCAATACTGACTCTTGCAAAGAACCTATCTCTAACATAATCCTGGGGATGTCCACACACACACACAGCAAAGAGGTGACCTGTATAGAGGCACACTGCTGCTCTCCTCACATCTGGAATTCCAGCATACAAACTGGAAGAGTGTAGGTGTCAGAACAAGAACCATTTAAACACCACCCACCTGGTACACACTGTGGTGGGCCCAAGAATTCCCCAGCAGTCACCAGCACAGTGCAAGGTTAAATCCCCTCAGCTCACTCCAGTCTGAGGCTTTCAATGGTTACATTTTTTCTTTCCCATCCTGTGTTCAGCTCCCCATCCTGTGTCCAACCTCCCCCATTCTCAGGGACTGTTAAGGGCTCTCTAGGTGCACTGTTCTATCCAAACACTCCAGAAGCCCAATTCCCAAGGGCAACCTTGACAAAAAGAGACATCACGTTGGAATGCTACACGGTGCTTTAGGGAAGACCAGGAGTGCTGAAGTTGATGTATTTGGTAATGGATTTTATTTTATTTCTCCTGGGTGAGTACCGTACTGTAGAAGTAGTCCTAGTGAAAATAAGATTGGCATTTATAGGATGTCATGTATCATCAAAATGCTTAACGGGTCATGAACACCCAGCATTGCCCTGGAAACAGTTTGGCCAGGGCTCCTACTGATGGTGAAAACAGACACAAGAAAAGCAGGGAGAGGCCCTGGGCAGACCAAGAATGATAAAAAGGGAAAAGAGCTTAACACTCAATACAATGCTACTTATGGAGAAAAATACATAAAACATTCTCCACGCTTTACGCCCAAAACAATGATGTCGTTTTTAGGAGGGCGGTTTGCAAATGCAAAACATGAGATAATTTACAATCAAATCATTTCAGATATTGGATGATGATTCTGAACATGAATTCTATTTCCATCAATGTGAGGTCGATTTCCATAGAAACGGGTGGAAAAAGTAGGCCAAACCCAGCAGTATGGCTTCCAAAAGGAATGGCAGCTGCAGTTCTGGCCAGCCATGGAAAGCTCTGGTTTTGTAACCACTACACTCAAAAGCTCTCGCTGAAAGGGGAAAAAGAAAAGTTTAAACTCAAAGAAAGGGCATGGAAAGTATCTGAGGACTTTCCTGGCTGTTTCCAGGAGGAAACCAAGCCATTTCTCCTCCAAGCCATGGAGGAGAAATTGTCTCATGTACATTTTGCTCTTCATATGTGCCACAGTCAAGTTCACCACATGCTAAACAGGTACCTCTTTGGGGTGGGCCTTGGAGAAAGGACATGTGCTTCATCAGCTGGGCTGAGCTATCAGAGGAGTATCAAAGGACCCAGTTCTCCCCCAAAAACGAACCTAGGAGCACTCAGAGATATGGCAGAGGCAGAGGAAGGAGAGATGGTGTATTACAGCAGTCCTCAGACTTTTTGGGCAGGGACAGACTTCATGAAAAACAATTTTTCCAGGGACAGGAGTAGGAGGGGTGATCTGACAGGAGGCGGAGCTCACATGATGATGTGAGTGATGGGGGGCAGCTACCAGTATAGTCAAAGCTTTGCGTGCTGGCCCACCACTTGCCTCCTGCCATATGGGTCCATGGCCTGCAGGCTGGGGATCACACTCCGTGCCCAGAAAAGCAATGCAAAATGACACAAAACACACCTACCTACCTGCAAAGTAAAATCATGTTGAAATTGCACCTATGCTTTAAAAAGGACTCTTTGATGGGGCATAAAAGTGCAGGCAGGTTGACTGAAGCAGGTATTTCTTCAGCTCTCTTCTATACTTTTATGGGAAGGAGGCAGATGCTGGCTGGATGGCATGTGAGAGCTTAGAGCTGTGGCCCATCACCACCCAGCCCCTCATTCACCAAGCCAGCTGAGCCGCTGCTACCCCCTTCTCCATTCCACACATCCACCTGGAGCAGTCTGTGGGTGGCTCCAAACCAAAACGTCCGGAGCCCAGAGTGTGGATGTGACCCTAGCCATGCATCATTCATTTAACCCCGTCACCTCATATTCTTTTGTAGAAAAAGAAACACACGGCACTTCTCTGTCTAAAGATTTCTTTAAAGGGTGAAAAGACATCAAAATCTTATAATCTGTGAAATGGAGGAATGAAAGGATCGCTTTCAGGGAGGTGATATTTGAAAGGTAATCAACTGGGTACTGGCCTCTTGTTGGAGAAAAAAAATATCCAACTCGGTAACCACTACCACAGGAGCAAGCAGTGACTGTTCATTTCCTACTCATCTCTTGGGAAGGCTAAGGAGCAGGACATACATGTCTGTAAGCCTTTTATGATTCACATTTCCCTTTTTCTTCTCACTATAGAGAAACACACACATATGTATTATCCTTAAGTCACATGAAAAATACAGTGATTGCTTTAAACAATGGAAAAGACTACAAGATGCAAAGAAAGGAACACTTTACGGAGACAGACCTTTGATGGGCTTTAACATGAACCATTTTATTTAAAACAGGGATCCATCAGAGGTGGTGAATTCTCAGAGTAAATGTTCTAGAGCATGGCACAGATGAAGGCTAATACTCACCAGCACCTCACACGGGACTAAGAGACAATGTCGCCACACACCACTGAAGGAAAACAAATCAAATGTAAAAGGCACCTGGCTGGGGGCGCTCACGGCCTCTCTGACAGGTTCGCTTTTGTGCACTGTGGGTAAGTGGACAAATGGCATCGAAAGGAGACGAGGAAGGTTCCAATCTGAAGCGAGGTTCCTATGTGGGCAGTTCCCTTTCCTCAGGCTGGTGCACCCCCCACAGTGCGGTGACGCTCTCCAAAAGGGGACTGAGGTTACTAAACAGGATCACAAGAGCTCTCCCCCCTTTTTTTCTCTAGAAGGGAGGGGACCCCTCCCCCAATTTCAATTTCAGCACTGGCGTCTGAAGGCTTTTAAGTATCCTAACTTAAAAACAAGTAACAACAACAACAACAAAATAAAAGTGGGGTGGCGCCTATGGCTCAGTGAGTAGGCACCAGCCCCATATACCAAGGGTGGCGGGTTCAGGCCCAGCCCTGGCCAAACTGCAACAAAAATTGGTTAACATGTAAAAAGAAAAAAAAAAGTGGCCTGAACTCAAAAACAGATCAATCAGATGAGAAGGCAGATTCATAAAAATACAAACTGGTGAGCAGTCCATTAACCATTGGTTAAGGCCTTGTCTGCATGGCGATGTTTACTTTGCATCCACAATACACGCAAGCACAGAGCTGCCCTGGGCAGCGGGGAGTGAACAGCTACCTTTTCCTTCCAACACGCTGTAGTGCTACCGGTGACTGCATGCCAAGTGCTGAAGTTAGAAGAGACCCCAATTGGCAAAAGGACCCCAGGCCTTGAGCTGCCTGTGTGGCCAGGTCTGTGGGAAACAAGACTTACACTCTCAAATAATGACCCCAAAAGTTCCCTCTCCTCTTCCTGTTTGCTCTGTACATTTTGACCTCCTAACAGGGAGGTCCAAATGAGTTCCGTTTCCCTCTCAGTTCTAGGCACTCTCTGGAACATCTTTGATTAACCACGGTCTTTCATTTCTTTCCAACTCCATTGGTGACTTTTGACTTGGAATGTCGATTCCTTCTTCTGGAAGAATGGCTTTCATTGTTGCCCGAATGCTTGGGTGGGCTGTCTTCAGAACCTGGCCAAAGGAATCACAACACACATAACGCACCATTACCATGAGCTCTGGGGGGTTGTGGGCCCCCCCTTTCTGGATGGCCCTGGGCCTGCCTTGAAAACAAGCTCTGCCCTGGGCCTGCACGGAGACCGGGCTCTTCCCTGGCCCTTGCGCGCCACCTAGTGGCAAGTTAATGAATTAAGGGAAACCCACGACCAACCTCAGGGTGCCAGACAGCAGCCCCAGAAAGTCTGGGTGTTTCCAAGAAGGTATGCGCTTGCTCTGTGTAGGGTAGACTATGTCATGGCAATGAGGATCACAAGTGAGAGTGAAACCAAAACATAAACGATAAACAATTAAAACCACACAGGTGTCCACCCGGCAACTGAGGGATGCGTTACCTGCATCTCCATACCTTGCTTTGCTACATACCAGTTTCCAAACCCCATGTTGGAAAGGACTCTTGCCATCATAAAATGAAAGATATGACAAGCCTTGTTACAAGCAGGCCACTACTGCCCATGATATCCCTGACCACGCAGCAGCACGGGGCTGGCTCTGCCCTCAGTTGGAGCCTGTGGTAAGCCCCTGGCTGGCCCAGTGGAGAAGCCAAGGGGTTCTCTGCCTCGGGATTCTGATCTCCACCTTAGATACCCATTAAAAAAAAAGTTCCCAGAGTTTTTGTCTCCGTTGTAAGAGGCATTTGGCTTAGATCCTGAGATTCTTTCCCAACTCTGTAGACTTAGTTCTGGTTTTTACCATCTTTCTATTCTTTCTAATAATTTTATCTCTACCATTGCTTAATTCTTTTCAACAGAGAGCCTGGAAGTACGAAGATCAATTGGGAAGGGCATGGTTCTGAATAAGATAAGTCTGGGGAACCCTCTGCTCACTTTTACCAGAATTCTACAATGGGTCATGAATCGACTCCTTCATTCAGGAGAAACTATCCCCAAAAGGGAGACCAGCAACTCAGGGAGTGTGCCCTAGTGTTCTCCCCAGAGGGAACTTTAACAAGCATGACCCCCAAAGAACTCAGGAGAACCACAGCAATGGAGTGCTTTCTTCTCCATTGGCCCGACTCTTTGAGTGATTCTGTGGGCTAAATTCAGTCTCTAGCATTCACAATTTCATCTCAGCCAAACTCCCTGGTCAGCCCAGCTCATAAGAACTGTCAAGGAATTATAGTCCAATAAAGTCTCCTCAGTGCCATGATTCCACACGTCTTATTCTTTAAAATAACCAAATTGTTCCAGAATACTCCTCAGACAGAGACCAATGCAGGATCCTGAACCATACTACCGAAATCTCCCTGACACTGCTCTGCCTCTTGAACAAATGTGATTACACCAATCTACCTCTGTTGAAAGGCGTTTCCTCCAGATACACAATTCTGCCTCCCCCTTTTCACTCATGACAAAAGCCAAGAGGAAGAACATTCCCATCAGTGTGCTCCAGACAGCGCGGGCCTCCACAGGTCCCGAGCTACGTGAAGCCTCTTGTTACCAAGCATGTTTCTGGGGCAGATTCTGTGAGCACTTTGGGTGTTTCTTAATGAGTGACAGGAGTAGGTTTGAGACCCTCTCAGGCATACCTGATCAACACTTAGAGGATAAAATAGGGATTCTAAATCTCGAGGACCCAGTCAAGTTTGAAACAACGAACAAGAAAAAGATACCTTTTGTACCTTTCCTGTGATGCCAGGAGATATCTGGACTGTAGGTGCTATCTTCACACTCAGAATAGGTCTAGGGAGAGAGACAGGCTTAGTGACAGCATTTCCTGTCCTCCCTGGGAGGAGCAGCAGGGCAAAAAGTGAGCATGTTCTGTCCCTGCCTCTCCCAGGCTGGGACAGCTACTTGCAAATGACAAAACCTCCTCATTTGGCTCAGCACCTGTAGCTCAGTGGCTAGGGCGCCAACCACAAACAGTGGAGCTGGTGGGTTCAAATCCAGCCCGGGCCTGCCAAACAACAATTCTAAGTACAATCAGAAGAAAAAAAAAAACAGCCAGGCATCATTGTGGCAGGTGCCTGTAGTCCCAGCTACGTGGGAGGCTGAGGCAAGAGAATCACTTAAGCCCAAGAGTTTGAGGTTGCTGTGAGCTGTGACATAGTGAGACTCTGCCTCAAGAAACAAACAAACAAACAAAAAAAACCTCCTCATGCTTATGTTTCCAGGCTGTGAAATCAAGAGGCTGTTTTCTCCCAGGAGATATAGAATAAATCTTCTAGAAAGTGTATTTAGTTCTTAGGACTAAAGGTATAAAGGATGAAAGTGTTATTTTTCCTTAAAAAAATGCTACAGTTGGTAAGACTGCTATAGCATTTTAAACCCATTCCTGTCTATTTTCAACTTTAAGCCTTGAGTCTACAAAGAGGAGGGCAGAGCAAGTGTTTGCAGAAGGGGAGCCCCAGGCTGGGCCACACTGAGAGACCCACACAGAGCAGAAAAGCCAGGAATAAAGCCCAGCCTTCCAAAAACCAGGCCAAGGCTTTCCCGTGGCTTTTTCTTTCTAAACAGAAAATATAACATAATTTTTAAATGCCTTACAAAAAGGAAGATTAAAAATGCCAACCCACTGAACAGGACAGTCACTGGCAGGGACAGCAAGTGACAGGGAATGACTTCTGACACGGTGAAGTGTCTGCAGCAGCGAGACAGACTGCTGTGGTGCAGACAGTGCCTGCCCGCCTGGTGCTCTGGGCTGCCCCTCCAGGCACCGGGTGATTATTCTAAATAAAGCCATCTAGGCCTGTCTTTCCATACCTTCTCTCGGTGACCATAGTGCTCTGCACACCAAACCATGCCGTACAGACACAGGAAGGTGGTGAATGCCTGAAAGAGAAAAACAAGCACACAGCCATTCTATAAATGATGTTGCAGCAAATAATTCTATTCCCCAGGACTTGAGGGTATCAATGGGATTTATACACGACAGCTCACTTCATTCCTGCCATCTGTCCTAAGGATGTTGGTTACAAAATGGCCAGATATGGTAGAGATTGGCACTAAGAGATAAGCTGGGGAGGCCTAGCTGTTACAACGCCAGCCACATGCACCGAGGCTGGTGGGTTCGAGCCCGGCCCGGGCCAGCTAAGCAACAATGACAACAACAACAAAATAGCCGGGTGTTGTGGCGGGCAACTATAGTCCCAGTTACTTGGGAGGCTAAGGCAAGAGAACTACTTAAGCCCAAGAGTTAGAGGTTTCTGTGAGCTGTGACACCACAACACTCTACTGAGGGTGACATAGTGCGACTCTGTCTCAAAACAAACAAACAAAAAAACCCCCAAGAAACAAAGAGATAGGCTGGGGGTGTACACCCGAAGCTTTTGTCAGGGATTATGATGAGACCATCGTATGTGTGACCCTACCATCAGACACAAAATCATTTTATGGCATGCAATATGGTGGAACGCAGGACAAACAGCCCAGGAGGTGGAGGCACTGGGCAGGGCAGTGCAGGCCCCACCCTGACCACAGTACTTGTTTTTGTTTTTCTTATTTACATGGATAGAAAAACAAAGAGAAAATAATAAAAACACTTTGTAAGGCCCCGAAATGAGAAAGGCATGGTTTGTGGATCCCCAGGGGAGAGATAACTTCTCCTTTCCCACTGTGTCACCCACTTGCCCCACACCCCAAATCACACTCTCACTTAAGGAAAGAAAGGCATACACGAGAATCCGAAGTTTCAAAATGTGTCAAAGAACTGAAGGTTGGGGAAAGTGTCTGGCTGCCCAGACTAGTAGCAAAGGAGAGAGGGATGGCACTCCGGGCCTCGAGGGCGGAAGAGCCTTGGCAGGCCTTACCTTCCGCCCTGTAAGTGAAGCAACCACAATAAAACATGTTCCTGACACTTCCTTCACGTAGGAATCCATTTCTACCAGCAGCCCTGGCTGCCGAGCCTCCATCACTCCCACTATATTTCCCGTGGACATCTGAGCACTTGCCATTTCCCCCAGGGCACCTGTCATCTTGCTCTAACTCTGGGGACAGCTGTGAAATCATGAGATCTTCTCTTCTTGAAGTTATTTTAGTTCTTTCTAAGAATCATAACTTTCTATCAAAAAGGGTCACCTTAGAGACGATTAATTTCATTCTTCCTCATTTTACAGAAGAGGAAAGAAATCTCAGAGAGGTAGATGGCTGTCTCAAGGGCACACAGCTAGGGCACAGCAAAACTGGAGCCAGAACTCAGTTCTTTTCATCCCCTTGGGTCTGAGTTTTAGGAATGGCTATCGGTTATAGACACATGCTTACTTTATGCCTATGCATCTTTATTTCTCTCTCCATTCCTCTGATGCCCAAGAAGGAAAAACACCAACACCAGCAGCATCCACTCAGCACAGCCACAGTGGGGTGGGGTGGGGGGGGACAGGCAGGGAGGGAAGGCCGGGGCTGCTTTCTCTAAGTCAGCAGCAGCTGTTGTGTGCACAGAGCTCTGGGCAACCTGTCCCTTCCCCGCCAATGAAGTGCGGAGAGCGGCATGGTTAGAGATGACATGAAGCACAAGAAGAGCCACTAGTTGGTTTTATATTAAGTCCACATGCAAACCTGCACACATCTACACAGTAGGGATTGTGTTAAAAAGCTCATATTCCCCCATCAAAAAATTAGGCAGTGAATGAATATATTAAAATGACAAAATAAAAATAACATCACACCTTTTACATATTCTACTTCTTGCCCAGATCTTACATACACCAATATTAAATGTGCCCTTCGCATAGCATGGAAAGAACGGGAAAGCCTAGAAAAGACATGCAGTGTGTGGGCCTGTGTATGTGGTAACGCCCTTTCCAAACAGCAGAACAAGCAGACCTGGGTTTCACACCAGGATGCGGGGAGGTTAGGTTACACCTCCCCAAACCAGAGGGCTGCAGGGTAGGGGAGGGGAGGCAGCTCACTCCACTGGACTGTCACTGCAAACTCTGACCGCCAGGGGGTGGGTCGTCCCTTCCCAGCCCAAGGGTCTGGGGGGTAGGCAGTGTCAGGGGTCTCCCTCCTGCAGTAAGCAGTCAGCTGGCTTTGCAGAGGGCCAGGCAAACACAGGCTGGCTGGCGGGTGGTGAGCAACAGGTGCTTATCTTCGAATCCAGGCAGAGGGCCTGCTGTGACTGCCAGATCTGCCACTTCACCTGTGCACCAAGAAGCCCATTTTACACTTGTTCCAGGAAACAAAAGCTTGTAATTTATGGGTTTGCAATTATACCTATAGAAATCTAGGCATGTACCTACGTAAAATGTCAAGGCCCAGATTTAAAATAGCAATTGTCCAGACTTTGTTTAAAGAGGGGGATGGGAAAAGAAGAAAACTGTGTGTGATGAAAGCCAGGCAGACCAGACCACTGGTGCCGGGGGTGGAGGCAGAGAGCCCCAACTCAGGTTCCACCTTGTGGTAATGAGAACTCAGATTAAGGATGATCAATCTCAGAAGCTAGAGAAGCTTATTAACCACCACATGGGATCTTTGCTTCTGCATTAATCTCAAGCTTCTTGTTCTCTTACAGAGCAAGGGGAATAATTAGGGGCTTTGTTTCTCTGAGTGGTGGGGAGGCCTGGGGTAACTTAACGCTCTTTCACTGAATAATGTTTGCCTCTGCTCCTGAGCTTGAGATCAATCTTGCTCTCTAATTAAGGCCCTGAATATGAACAAGTACCAGGAACTTGTCTCCCTTTTTCTTCTTCTAACTGGTAAATGTCCCTAATCATCCCATCTGATGGCCTCTTTTGGGGCCAGGTACCTCTCTAGGTGTCATCACTGAAAGCTCTAACCAGGGATTCTCCAACCCCACCGTCCTGCTTACCTGCAGCTGCTCCCCATCCTCTGTCTGGCCTGTTCATGCAGCTGCTCCAAAGAATGCCACCCTCAGCCAGCTTCTCTTCCCAAGGTGGGGTCCCTACCTCTTAACCTAATCCTGTGACTTCTACGTGCCCTACACATGCACCACTCCCAAGTCTTTTATCTCCACCACTGACCAAATCTTTCCAATGTCAGTGGACTAGAATCTCTCATGTCACCTGTAAATTCTAGAGGCCCCTCAAACCCAAACTCTCCTGAGAATCAATGGGTTCTCCTTTCAGTGGGCTTTTCCTATATCCCTCAATCTGTCACTAGCACCGGTGGCCACTGAGGGGCACAAATGAGAAATTTTGGCCTGGCCCTCAAGTCCTTTTCTGGCTATCACAAGAGGAATAGTGTCCTACTGAGCTGACCCCAGAGTTCTGGGTCTATCCCCTCCTCTGCATCTTCAAAGCATCTGCCTTGGTCCAGCCTCAGTTCCTTGTCACTTAGGACCCTGCAACACCCTCTGACTGCAACTCTGGGCCCCGACCCACCTTCTCTTTTGACCAGTGTCTTTCAACCATTTTTGTCTCACAGAATATTTGAACCTATATTTAAACTTCTGTGGGCACACTTAAATTATGCTGATCAAAAAAAGGGTGAAAAATATATATATACTTACTGTACTTTGAATTTCTTCTGAAAACGTAATCAGAATAATTTAATTAATGGTCTTTAAGCTCCTCTCATGGCACACTGGTTGAATATCACTGCTCTAGACCTTCCCACCCTCCAGTGTTTCCACGAGATAGCTCAGACCACGTGGTTTTCCTACTTAAAAACCTTTGAGGTCCCAACTGCAGCCACATAAAGCCCTTCCTAAGCAGATAACCCTTATCCTACTGCTTCTCATTCTCAGTCCCAAAACGGGCCCCCGCCCAGCCCTCCTGAGAAACCAGGTGCTCTCACAGCCTCCTGTCCTTGTGCACAACTGTCCCTCATCCTGCCTGCACATCACACTGTGTCTCCAGCATCCAATCCTGTATTCTCCATGCCTCTGCTGGGCACATCCTGTGCACCAGGCACTGTGCTCCAGACAGTGCAGGTGAGGAAATGATGTTTAGTTCTCTTTGTGCACATCAAGTGCAATACAGAGCAGACAGATAGAATCAAATTCCATCACTGGGCTTGGAACTACAAGAATTAGGAAAAAAGTGTGCCTAGTCCTACAGAGGGAGCTGTCTACCACTTGCCTTGGAAGTCAGTGCATATTTCATGGGCGGCATGTGTTTGGTTTTGGGATATATGTCTCACCAGATAGAGAAAGCAGGGAAAGGCTTTCAGATCAAGCAAAGGAAACTTCAAGGGTAATAGCAGAAGTCTGGAAGGATAAAGTGGGTGGATCTGATGGGCTCCTCCAGGTAATGAGGGCCCGAGGCCAGGCACAGTGGCTCATGCCTATAATCCTAGCACTCTGAGAGACTGAGGTAGGTGGATTGCTTGTATTAATGAGTTTAAGACCAGCCTGAGCAAAATCGAGACCTCGTCTTTACTAAAAATAGAAGAACTGAGGCAAGAGGATCTCTTGAGTCCAAGATTTGGAGGTTGCTGTGAGGTATGACACCACAGCACTCTACCCAGGGTGACAACTTGAGACTCTGTCTAGGAAAAAAAAAAAAAGAAAAATGAGGGCCCTAAACACACAAGCAAGATTTCGTATTTTACCTGGCAGGTTTTGTGGTGGGGAACCTTCTTCCTTTGCGAAGTTTCTCTCTGCAGGAGGAAGCTTCACAGCTTCTCTCCACCCCGCACGCCTCTGGGGAGAAGTGATAGCTTAAAACACTAAGGACCCTGACACAAGGAAGCTGGAGTTTCCTGAAAAAATGTATTCCCAATAATGAAGATGCTGCTCTGTAATCTTCCATATCTTCCACCCTACTTAGCTCTTATTTTGAACTCAGGTGGGGAAAAAGATTATTGTACCTCTGCAAGCCTTTAACCAGATGGACTGATTCTAAGCAGGGGAAAGAGATTTAGGTCTGAGTTTT